GAGAATTGGCTTGGATAACAGTGAAAATATCTTTTAAAAACTCTCAGAAAATCAAAAAGTACACGAATGTTTACATGAATCACATAAAAATAGCATATACAAAACTGAACTCAATTAATAGCTCTCCATTATATCGTACAATCTCAGAGTGAAATATAGAGATATTATTACAGTATTCAAGCTCTAAGTCCATGAAAACAAGACAAATCGGGAGCAGAGCTAACACGGACCTCAGAAACCCCCTTATCATGATCGGGAAATAACGAAAAAATCTGTCGACAATTCAGTGTGTAAATAATAGCCTAACAATTAGTATGAAAAACGTCAGTCAGCATATGACTTAATGATAGATTGTATTGCTGAAAAAGTCATTGTATCGACCATAGAACTTACGAAATGATGACTTAAAATGATACTGTTGACATTCTTGTTTCATCAACTTGTTTGTCAATAACTTACCTCGTTTTAGAAATTGTTCATACCAGAGCATGCTCTTGTGTAAACTCTTTATTTAGCGTCTGGCCTATTGAAAACATCTCTATAAACGTACTCATGTGTCACATAGGGAGGCCGTAAATTAGGACCATTAGAAGAGAGATATCATATTCTGCTTTCACAAATTTTGCACATAATTTTGAGGTTTTCTCGTTAGGGTGGGGATAGTTACATACCAAAGCAATTAATTACATTACAATGCATTTCTGAAATGCTTCAACTAAATTACAATTACTGCAATTTACAAATGTAAATATTTAAATTATAGTTATTTTGCAAACGTAATTAATAAAATTACAAATAACTTTTTTTTAAGGTATGATATAAGTTGACAAGGAGCACACGGCGAGTGTGACCGGTCGACAGGGGATGCCAGCTCCACCATGGCACCTGATCCCACTTCTGATATTTTTAGAGATCTCTGTTTGCTCTGCTCAAAATTGGTATTATTTCAATGGACTTTTGATCTGATTACTCTTCGTTATCTTCATTACTAAAAAAACTGAACAAAGTTTATTCAAGAAAAAATGATTACCGTATTTGTAAATGATGATATCAATATTGCTCAATCAATACTAATTTTTTTTAAATAAATGATAAGTTATTCATATGGCAATGGTCAGGGTATAGGATCATTCCAGCCACTCTTGACATATTTTCTTATCATATTGTAAACCAGAATTGGAGAGGGATATCGAATTGCTTTAAATTTTATGTACCTGCTATTCTCAACTTTAAATATTAACGATAACTAACATTAACATTTTCAGAAATCAGCAATTTATCTAATAAATGTATATTCATATAATTGCTTAAATATGAGTGGGAATTGTGAGCCCAACTTCCGTTAATGGGGAGGGAACAAATTTATAAGTATTGTAGCTACTCATTATAACAATTCAAACAATTTGCCTATTTCTTTTCCATGGGTAATGACAAATTTTTAAGATGTATTTTTTTTTTTACAATATATGACCGACTTAGCTCAACCATGGGTTGTATAGCATTAGGGCCCATGAATTAAAAAAATCGTAGAGGGCTAGCTATTTATGATAAACATGCAAGAAGAATGTCTGCTAGAATTCAATTAGTGAAGATTGATTGATTGCATGTTGTTCTATCCCTAACAAAAATATACTATACTTAAGTATAGTTTACTATAGTTAACTATGGTTAACTAAAGTGATAACTTTGACACGATAAAAACTTTGATTTACTATGTGATATCTTTGACACTTTTATTTACTAAAGAGATAACTATGAAAACTTTGATTTACTATAGTGATAACTTTGACACTTTGATTTACTATACTTAACTATAGTTAACTATTGTAAATTATAGTTAACTATAGTATTTTTTATTAGGGATGTCCCACTCGAGAATATTTCAATCATATAAATATGTTACCATAAACTGGTGAACAGCTTCAAATTTTGACCTATACTCGACACTCAGGACCATTTCGCAGTGAGGATTCTTCATCGAGGCAACGCCAACCGTGACAATGGACCTCGGTTTTTAAAGTCTCATGTCTCATCCGAAAGACCCGTTCTGTCGCGGTGAGGCGAACGAGAATGGAATCCGGGCTTCCCGATCAAGAAGTTCGTGCGTGAAGACAAAATGTCTCCACTCCAAAATAAGGATAAATTAGTACATGTATGCATTGAAAATGTACATGTACAACACCTTTGGATTGTGTAATAAATTTTCAATGCCTACATGCAGCTATTACAAACTATGTCCCGCCCTCGGAATTTAATGCTGCACCCTGTGCATACTAATTTTATGATTTTGATATTGGGCTGAGTAAATTCATTGTTATAATGTATCGCTCTGCTAGATGTCTAGGGTTTAAGATAATTTTCTAAAATATTTTTAATATGCACATTTGTAAGTAAATTAATCTAACCCTGGGACCTGATTCATAATTAAGAAGGTAATGGATTTGATAATTTTGGTAGATGTCTAAATGCGTATTCGAATTATGCAAAAGGATTGTTTGCTAGATGTGTTAAGTAGAAGATAAATTATGTTAACGTCTTCCTTTAATCTTGAATAACCTATGTTGTTAAATGTACTTATAATTTAGATCAATTTTTCACGAAATCTTGATTATTTGAATCACGATGCATCAACAGTTATCTGAATCTTTCACCCTCATAATTGTTCAAATTAAGTAACATCAAAAGCAATAATCTTTTTTATCTAATCGAAAGTTTAAAACTGTTCAAACAAAAAAAGAGGTAAATAGGAAACTGCATTGTATTATGTATCGTTTCATTAAATATACTATAGAATAAGAAAAGACGCATATTCTTATTTGAACATATTACTGGTATACACAATTATTTCTTTGGATTTACTTACAGTGTCTGTAAACTTAACAAACCGTCGAAGGCATTATCTTCCAACGTGGTGATTTTATTCCGATCCAGATACCTGGAAAGTTATCGTCAATAGTATTTTACATTATTGTCAAAGTAACTTCCACGCCAATAATATGAAAATTCAACCACGATCATATCAGTCATTAAGGTGACTGTGATCATTTTAATCCATTTTAGTTAGTCTTCAATTTCTATCGGGTTGTTATATGCTAGCTTTTTTATTTTATTTATTTATTAATTTATTTACTTAATTGTTTTTTATTAATTCATTTTGAGCAAAATTCAAAATTATGTTTTACAATAAACATATCTCTGAAGGAAAATCGTCACCAAAAGAAATCATCATATCAGCAGAATACATATATATATTATCATAACAGTAATTTGATCTTAAGAGCCAGATCCACTTGTCGGTGACAATCAGTGACAGCCAAACACGTTTTTTATTTGTAAAATAACAATATACATGCACGCATATACAATGTAACACACTCTCTAAAAATGTATTGTTTGGGTTCATTTACCGAGTATTTCCCTTAATTTTGAAACCTGCAATTATTTGCTGTATGGATCAATGAATCATATTATACATACGTGCAGATGTCAAAATAAAGACCACTTATTGTTTAACGTGGACTTTGTAAGTTAAATCATAACATTTTCTTACTTTGGGAGGCTATTTATCCGTGACCACTCTTCCACCTTCACATCACCTTCGACATTGTGCATGCTGTTTGCTAGCACGTGTCAAGGAATTAATTAAATTTATATTTCAATAATTTTGTCTGTACAAGAGATTACACTAAGACAAAAACAAGACATAAGCTATATTGTGGGATTAATATTCAAAAGTCTTGCCTTTCCAAATGATCAACACGCGGCCATACATAGTGAATGACGTCATTTGAACAAAATTGCAATTGTTACAAAAAAATCCGATAAATCTATGCAACATCAAAGACAATATTCATTAATAATGGCTAAACATGCTCTAAATTTGGAGGCATTGCAAGTAACAAATGCGATACTTCTTTTAAATGTTTCATGTACCACACAATAAATAATGTGACTTTGTCCTATTCAGTGAATTAACCAACCAATGTGATGGGCTGCAACATCTAAAAGGAGGAAATAACGTTGCAGATTTCGATTTATATAATGATGTTCTAGTTCAAAGACTCGGGTATGCGGAACCCAGATTATACCGGGAAGTACATACGCAATAAAAACAAAAGCCTGTCCCTGAGACAAATTTGCATATTCTTATACGTTGCTTGAATATGCGCTAGTGTCTAAAAATTAGTTTTACTAACCATAGTTTTTCACCTTAAGCTTTAACCTTTTGACCCTCAGATAAATTGACTTTTTTTTTAAATGTAATCTACTGTCTCTGTAGCATGTTTAAGGCTGGAAGGTAGATAAGTACTCCACATACCACGACCTCAATACTGATACAGACACATGTACAGTAGCTTTCACTTTAATATTTGAACATCAAATAAAAAAGAATTTTTTTCTGGTCAAATCCATCTCTTTAACAGGTAAAAAAAAAATTCCTATACCTTTATATTAAATATGTCTTTAATTGACTTCAATATAATTTGCATATTTTGCTGGTCATTTACCACCTCTGTGTAAGTCTAAAAAGGTCAGTCTTTATCGAATCTTAATTTGGAAAGTGTCAAAGAAATTGAAACATTATTGATTGTGAAATATAAAACCATTTGGTAAAAAAGGGACAAATCGGCTTCAAAGAATGAAAGCAGAAATAATTTAATATACGACTTAAGATCAGAGACTAAAAGGTGAATTCTACACCTTGAATAACAGATTAAAAGTGATTGGTAAGGCTTCTTTTATAACGAGAAGCAGAATAGCATTAACATGTAACAGAAAGTCATTTAGTACGGATGATAACTAAGGTTTGTCAGTTGTTTTAACTTTTCATACCCACACATTAAAGATCAATTTAGAATTCATTAAACTTTTGATTTTTTTTTTTTTAAATATGATATTGAATAAGGACTGACATCCTAACAAATCATCGATAAACGCATTGTTCTCAATATTTTGTATTTATTGATTTTTGTTTTCTTTATTTACTTACAATGTCTGTAACTTTGACAAACCATGGAAGATATTATTCCCCAGTTCAGTGATCTCATTCCCCCAAAGTCTCCTGAAAAATGTTCCATGAAATTTATCTCGGTAATTTATTTAATTTATCCTATTTATTTTTATATGAACTAATCTGAAAATTAAGGATGAAAAACTTAATTATACATTAGTCATATAAGACTTGGACACATGTATTACTGAAATGTGGGAACTGCTCTGATTCCCAGTGATTGAGAATTTTATCTTCAGGCTGAACAAAATGTCTTTTCAAGCCTTTTTTATTTTAAATAGAAAATAACTCTCCTAGAACATTGAATACTATAGACCATGATAAAGGTATAATATAAGCTGTATATGAATGAAAATATTTATCATATTAGGGCTTGTGATCACGATTAAAATGTAGTTGCAATAGACTTTAATATTTTGAGAAATGTTTTAGGTTCAATATCAAATGCAAAATTATATTTCATGCATCAAATTCATAAACCAAATTCAAGAGTATACAATTACAAAATATGACTTTGAGAGACCGAAATGCAAAACTAGCAAGTTTCTTTGAAATGCAAAACTAGCAAGTTTCTTTGAAATCCACACATTTCTTATGACTTACAGAGGAGCAGAAAAAGGGACACCAAGAGAAAAGCCTCTGAAATATGCACCCTACGCTAACAAAATTTCTTCAAATTTCAACTGCTTTCAGGTAATAAAAACTCAAAATTACTTTGTATATTCTACGTGTAATACACATTGTATACTGAATATCTATGCACACAAATTTACGGGATTCTTTCTCTCTGTACAGTACTTTGCCCGTTATATATAAAATATTGTACAAAATGATGCTGATACCACATTCTTTATATTTTGATACTGCACCTATCTGACAAAGCAGGTAACAGTAGAGTCTTTGTAAGACTCATTATTTCAATTGCATTTAAGAGGAACTTGGATTTAATTCTACAAATGATAATATTTTTATACTCATAGTTCCCTTTCTAAGAAGGAAATTCCTCAAAATCATACGGTTTTTAAAATAATTCTATATTTTTTAATGTCATTTTTATGTCATACATATTTTTGTTGTTCAATAAAATATTCAATGTTCGAATATATGAGAGCAAAGGGCTGTATATCAAGGCCATAATATTTAAAGGTAATGCATCATTACTTTTATAAAAGATTTATAATAGACAAGAATCGGCTTACGTCACAAATTAAAAAAACATATTCAATATTCATAAGATTTCAGCAGATGTTACCCTTTCTGGAAAGATTTCTTTTCAAGTCTTGTTTTATGAGCATTTTTCAATCAATCCCACACATTTAAGTAATAAATGCAAACACAGCAATCAACTAAAGAAGAAAGCACATTTATCTCTTGGGGTTTTGAAGATGCTTGAAACAATGCAGGACCTAATCAATCCTGCTTTAAATATGACTTATCAAAATTGTCAAAAAGAAAATCATCTTGCTCCGCATTTTCATTAGTCCAGTATGACCAGGCCTAAAAGCTAACGAAGGAAATGTGAAACTTTTTCCTCGGTCATGTTTAAAAGAGGACATGGAATGAAAAAATGCATTACATGTAATTAAAACTGAAAAAAAAAAAACTATTTATTAACAAAATGAACTTATCATTATATGGTCACACATCAAACAATTAGCTTATTATTTTCTGGTTAATAACTTTATTCAGGAATAGGCGCTATGCAATGTACATGAACATTGAGGATGAGTATTATATACATATAAAACTTAATTAAATAGACATGTTTTAAGAGATAAATTTAAAATGAATTAACTAATAAATCCTACTTTGCATATAAATCAAATAAATATATTATATTGTATATATGCCTAAACCCAATGGGGTCCTTTTACATGTATCAAAATTACTGGCTTATGACATATATAATATAATTAATATAAACAATACATAATATATATACTTACTATAAACAAAATGGCTTAAAATTTCAATCATACTAAATATACAAAAGCATCTAAAACACAAGTTCTGAATTGTATAAGAAGTAAGAACAGTTTAGTTATAAATCTAATAGTATAAAAAGTCTTCTTTGGACATTTTCATAAGTTTTTCCATAAAATGTCTTTTGACCTCTTTATTGAATTTTGATTTATTGGTAATTGTTTTAATCTGATCAGGTAGATAATTCCAATCTTTAATTCCATTGTAAAAAAAAGATCACTTTCCATTTTTTTTAAACCTTGGCACAAAAAAATTAAATTACTTGACCTTGTACAATTTGTAGAAACATTTCGCTTAAAATTGCTGTACATATAATTCGGACCTTTATTATGAAATATATTGTAGACATGGTTGAGGCGTAATTGACAAACTCTAGTTCTAATATTCAAAAAACCCAGTTTTTCAAATTCATTAACACTGACTCTTGATTCATGCGAAACATCAAGAATAAATCCAATAATCTTGTTCTGTGCAACCTGAAGTTTTTTTTTTAATTTTACAGATAGTCCTTCATACCAACAAGTGATATCATACTGGATGTGACATTGAGTTAAAGAAGTACACAAAGAGTTTCTTGATTGCATTGACAAACATGATTTTTGCCGATATAAAAATTTAAGTCGTTGGTTTGTTTTGCTAATAATGTTTCTACAATTTTCTCATCAGATAGTAAGTTGTTTAAAAAAAAAACTCCTAATTATTTAACACAATTTTTACATTCAATTTTGATTCCATCACATACTACTGAAAAGGTGTTCATATCATATGACTTCAATTTTCTAGGAGGTCTAAATAAAATACTCTCTGTCTTTCCTAAATGTACAGAAAGTTTATTATCAACTAACCAGTGCTTACATTCCTCTAACATCTCAGATAGTTTTTTTACTAATGACTGTTGGATTGGTGTGTGAAAAAAGAATAGCTGTTTCATCTGCATATAAAAGAACTTTGCAGAATCAGTTCGGGTAGTATTCAGTATAATGCATGATTCAAGCAGGTAAAACTACAATTATTGCCATAAATAATCATCACTGACTTTGGGTTCTCAAATATGCGTAGATTTATAACGAGCGGGAAGTTCGTAAATTGTCTTTTCTTTCGTATTTCCTGACACCTAATGCATAGCTTATATTTTTTTAATCTGATGCATAGATGGTTCGTGCAGCTACAAAATACTTACAGTGTCTGTATATTGTGCAAACCGTTAAAGGTATTGTTTTGAATTGTAGTTATCTTGTTGGAACTCAGACGTCTTAAATAAGTTTTTTTTTAAATATTTAATCGAGTATCTTTGCTTTAAGTTTTTTGCCATTAAAATCAAAAGAAATAAATAGAATCTCCAGACATTTTTACAAGTATGAAATTAAGTGTTAGTTTACATATGAATAATCATGTTATTTTAATTTCTCAGATGTTCTTATCTTGATGATATGGAGAGATCTAAAATAAGTTTTCCAAGAATTAAATTACATATTTGTCTACATTTTCATCAAAATCAAACATAGGTGCAAACTCTGAATATTTGCTAATCTTAGATTTCAGATTTATATATTATAATATACATGCATTATTATGTTATTGTAGAAAAGACCAAAAAAATGCAGCATATTTCAGGAAAAAGGTCGGTACAGTCGTGAATAGATAACCAACAGATTATTTACTGTACATGTATAACAAAATGCAGCCTTCGGAAAATAAGCCAAATACTGTCTTTATTTTAATACCTATTTAAATTAATGTCCAAGCTGCTATACATCCATATCCTCTTATGCTTTTATAGATGGTTAGCAATGAAAATAATCTTTTATCCATAGATGGTTAGCAATGATAATCATATTGTATCCTTAATTGAAAATCAGTCTGTTTGTTTTAAATGCATAATATTACTGATTAAAATTTAATATGATGGATTTTAAGAGAGGAAGGTTAGGAGTCGCCATATCTGAATTTTTATGGTCCTACGTCAACTCAAATAAGTTTTTTTTTTTCGTCATTTAGATCTATGATACTTAAACAGGTAAATAATGACGTCACGTTACTTTCACACCAACGTCAAACGTCAAACATTTCAGGGTGAACATGATCATGACTTCATTGTAATGTTGCTATGGTAATTGATGTATGTTATTCAATATTTCCAGAATCATTTTTGACTCATTGCCTCTTTTAATAGTTGCAATAAGTATTATCCATCATTGGTGTGCAGAATTATGATTGTTTGTTTTACATTTCACTATGCTGGGATGCCATGCTGGAAGACCCGAGAAGCAAGCGACTTCCGTTCAATATCATTTTTTTTTTCAAATCCAGAATATTTATTTCTTATGTAAGAATTGTTTGAGAAACCTGTAGGATTCATTCAAAAATTATTTCATTTCAAGCATGGTTCTCTATCGGTCAAAATGTCAATTTTCTTGTTTGAATCCAGTATAAAACGATATCTTACCAAATGTTAAAGTTAAAAAAATATTTTTAAAAATTCCTCGGGAACAACAATAAACTAGATGTTACTGAGTAATGAAAATTTATTTGTTTATTCGTCTTTTTCTAAATATAAAGACAGAAAATTTATGAAATGTAATTAATTATAGTATACACTGTACAACAATTATTTAAGGACACTAAGTTGATACACTGCATGTTAAGCAATATTAAATAAAAACTTTTCAAACAAAAATGCAGAAGGACTCCTGCCTGCATGTGGTAAGAAAACTAGTATTGTTTTAATTGAAACGATATACTTTTTTTTTCAGCCCCATGCAGCAATAAACTTTTTAGAGTAATTACTTTTTAATTAAGCAGGTTGACAAAACATAATCAAAAGGATGAGTTATATCTCACATGCATTAACAAATGGATTACAAGTGGTTGGGTTGCGTGTGTGTGTGGGGGGGGGGGGGGTAGGGGGGGTTTCAAAGCAGAAACTTGCAATACTTGTAGTTAACATGAGTTAAAAAACATATATTTTTCTAATTTCCTAACTTTTAGGTGTACAGGGGGACATTCACCACCACCGACCCCACAACCTCCAAATACGTCATCTGGTTAGGTTTGAAATAATATTGGATATCATTTCTCAGTTTGTTTTTGCACCTTTAACTGTCTTCTTACGTATATGAGCAAGGCCAACTTCAAAACAAACAGCGATCATGAGCTCCACATGTATGGAACTGGGAACTTAACTACTATCAATTCTTGTTAATCATGAGAAAAATGGTGCCTTAGAATAACAATTTCATTTTATTCTATAAAACTAAATGGTTTTTGAAGTACATGTATACTCTGGCTATTAATAGATACCGGGCATTAAGATAATTGGAAATATTATATATAGTCAGTTACTGTTCGTAACATTCCCTGACTGGCTGATTTTTTAAATGACAGATTTTTATGAGGTGGTACATGTACACATTTGGGTACATATAAAATTTTATTACGTGATGGTGTGTTTAGAATCCCCTCCCCTTCCCCTTGTCGTGGTTTCTTTATCGTATGAAATTCTAATGTTATTGTATATGAAGTTATTTTACAGTGTATTAATTCCATTCTGATCCCGTGCCAGAGACTTGGATATGCTTAGGCTTGTAAAGCTTTACAAATATACTGTACAGTAGTTAGGTCCTGGTAATATAACATGACCCCCTCCCTTTCCCGCAGTCTTCTGCGCTGCCGCAAAAATAAAATCTTTCAAGCAGGTTCATCTTTTGTGCAGTGAATGTTCAGCATTCAATTTAATTTGTTGATTGCATGTATGAATAAAACTTGAACTTTACATGAATTATTTTATCAATAAATTCAAATAATAAAATTAGTTCCTTTATTGAATTTAACGGCAAGTTAAACAATATTATACCAAACCGATAACTGAGATTATAATTCCAATAACAAAGCGAGTTTTAGAATGATAATAGAACAGTCATGACATACAATGCTGTGATACTATGAATGACAAGGATTTCAAGTTGATGACTTAAGTGATCAAAATTTGCAGATGAAGCTAAAACCTTTGAGCTCTATTTAAAAAAGAAAAGGCACAAAACGAGTACCAAAAAGTTATATTTTCGAGTTCCTGAAAATAAATCGACATAGTTTAAAAATCAAAAGAGTTTTTTTTTTTTTTTCATGATACGGAATTGTTTTGTTTTGAAAATTCATCTTTTCATTAAAGTTTCACATTTCTATATGTTAATAAATTGAATTAAATGTAACATCTCTCTCTCGCTCTCTCTCTGTAAAACACATATATCAGTTTAGCATAAACTTATTCTTTCTTTTTATTTAAATTAGAACAATTGTAAATCACGCAGCACAGTTAAGGCTGCAGTAAGGAGGCGGGGCCTAATTTATACGGGAAATGCTTACTATGACATCACACAAAAATATAAGTTCTTCAAATTACCACAAAATGAAATGATTTGCTATTTTAAACTTATGAATAGCTTTAAACTACATCAATACTAACTAGTGCATGCATTATTGTCGTTGGTTAAATCCCACACGGCAATATATAAACAATTCACTGATCGCAATGCACTTGTCAATGTGACGTCATAACGAAAAATTTGACGCAGTTTGTATGCAGTGAGAGGCGGATCAAGTTATATTTATACAATGAAAAATGTATTTTGTAATTAAATAAAATATGTATTGTAGATATATAAGAGGCCATTAACTTGGATGCGAAGTCTGTTTTATGATTTTATTTATATACTTCCCGTACATTCCCTAGACAAGCGATATTGTCGTATATTTGTATGCAGATTCATTGAAGGGTAATAGAAGGGTCGTAATAAATCGATATATTGCCAGGGCATACCCTCAATGAATTATGAAAAGCTTTTACACATAAACTCAAGAAGTATGAAGATATTTGAAAAGTGCTGCTAACCTGTTGAAATCTTGCAAATGAATTAATTATATCTAAATTTAATGTACTTGACCAGCAAAATATTCAACATATGGTCTAACAAATGTAATTTTAGCAATTAGATAGTAGAATCTATATAGGTTCGCATTATTTTTCACAAACTACAAAGAGTGTTGAAAATAATTATATGTTAAACTTAGATTTTTAACTTGGTTATGCCCTTGCAATATTAGAATTTATAGATGACCTCAATACTTCAGGTATATTTGCTAAAATCACGTGACTGCCACATCACGTGACAAGTCTTAATAAGAAATCTAACCGTCCTCAACATTAAGTTTTCAACCACATTGCATTGTCCTAAAAAGAAATGCCAATCCCTGTGAAGAATGTATTTTCTATCTAAAAAAATCGCCGATATTTCCATTTGGCACCTTAACTGTGCTGCGCATTCAATAGTTTTTTGTTTTTTTTTTGTTTTTTTTCAAGTACTTAAAATTTAATATAAATCGGAAATGGCTTTGTGCAACAACAAAAATAATACCAAACATTTTTTTAAGTTTCATTTAATATTACTTAAATTCATGATCATTATTTATTGGGAAAAAGAATTAAATTAAAATTCAAGTTATTTTAAAATATCATGTCAAAATAAATAGATAACAAGAGATAAAATATTTTTTGTTTCAATTGAAAAGTCTGGTTCAATGTGCATTAAAGGCCTAGTTCTCATTCTATCATCTTTTTCTCTTTCACTTTAACAGGAGCTTGTTCCCAAAGCGTTCAAAAATACTTTTTAGAAAATCATAATTATAATACTAACAATTAAAACGTGTTCGTTAATAAATAAGATATTTTAATACAACGGAAGCAAATAAGATATTTTAATACAACGGAAGCAAATTCCTTTGAGCATGGCGAGTTGAAATGTGTACCTCTCTAGTACCTCTAATGTCAGAGATAGTTAAAAACCTCTCCTGTTTTTATTTATAGTTCTAAAATAGTATCGCATCTGTCATTTGTACGTATTTTTGCTAGATTTGTGAAAACTTTCAATAATACTTTTCATTTCTGTCGGAAGAAGTGTGCTAAGTTTCAATTTTTTGCATTAAAGCATTTACCACCAAAAATTCATGCAAGACGCGCCAATGATCCAATGTTTACATGATCGATTTCAGTGTTGAGAATGTGGAGCGGGTATTATACAGGAAGACGATTTACTCTGCAATATTTTGATAATATACCCGTGTCTAACATGCAGTCTCAAACTTTTCTATATATCAAAATCGCAATCGTTCATCCATATTCAATTAGTCAGAAAATCACCTTGTCTGAAGCTTCTATACATACATGTAGGAAATGAATAGGCCTACTAGGCCTAGATC